CGCCTTGACTGCTGGCGAGCGGCGATTTTTCCACCCCTTTTCCGCGCCACCACTACCATGTTCTTGGACGCGCCCGTTGACTGCCGGTTGCAACGCCGCCACGTGGTACTGTCTCGGCTCTTGTGCGTCTTTCACGGCATCGGGACTGCTCTGTGGTAGAACCATTTGGCTGCAAGAGCGGTGCCAATGGCCATTTTACTTTTAGCTGGGATCCTGCCACTCTGCATGGTGGTTGTGTGGGGCTGCGTTGGCGGTGGAAGGGCGATGGTGTCACTGGCGTGATGGCGTCTGCGCTTCTTTTTGTCGGTGGTTGTGATGTGGCGGTGACTGTCTGTGGCCGGATGCCGCTGCGTGCCACTGTGTTGCTGTTGCTTTTGCCTCCATTTCCTCTGACCGAGCAGTTGGAGATAAATTGGCTTGACCAGCACAACTATCGTTTCAAGGTGTTGGGTATTACTTGCGGTATTAGGAATGGTATTAGAGGGATAACGATCTGGCAGAATTGTGTCGCTGGATTTGCTATCTGTAGAAAGGGATTTGTTGGACAGGAGGTACGTTCGACGGGGCGAGTGCGACACACCACGACAGCTTTGTTTGTACTTGTTTGGGTCGGTGGATGCAGTCTGCGGTGGATGCGTGTCCGCGCGGCCGGCACCGCGTGCGGCGCAGGGCTATTGTAACTGTGCGTGCGGCGCTTCTTTTTGTGTTGGCGCTGGTTGCGGTGGCGGCGTGGATGCCTGCTGTGTATGCGGTGGTGCTGCGACTGCGGGGCGGCACGGTGGACAGAGCCATCACGGTTGGCCGCGCCGTGGACACGGTGCTTGTGGACGGCGTGTACATCACGAACGGCGTGGCTGTTGTGTTCGGCGTTGCGGCGATGCTTCCCGGCGCGCTGCGCATCGAACTGAGGAACTGCGTGTGCGACGGCGGTGCGCAGATCCACGTGCGGGGCTACAGCGGCGATACGGCGAGTGACCGGAGCCTGGAGGTTAGTGTGAGCGGGCTGTTCGGCGGCTACTGCTCGCTTGTGTTTGTGCACAACCTGCCGGCACGCACGAACGTGACGGTCCGTGACTCGACGATTGTGACGGCGGGGCCGATGCGCTACTCGCAGCTGAGCGGGCTGACGGACGCGGTGGCGTCGCCGCTTGTGCTGCACGCGACATCGCTGTTGCAGACGCAGCTGCGCGTGAGCAACACTGTGCTGAGGTCGTCGCAGGCGGGCGGGTCGGCGGTGTGGACCTGCTGTCGAGCGCGGTGGTGTTTGACGGCGTGTCGCTGGAGGCGTGTTGCTGGAGGCGTCGGGCGGTCCGACCGCGTCCGCGATGCGTGTGGCGTCCTCGTCGATTCTCAGTCTGCGGAGCCACTCGGTGTTCTCCGTGACGAACGTCTCTGTTGTGAGCGGCGGCGGCGGCCTTGTGCTTGGAGAGCGCCTCGCGGTGTCCGATTCGGTGCTGCGCTTCGTGGGCGTCGAGGGGTCTGTCGCGTCCTCGCTGGTGCGCTGCGACGGTGGGACGATCGGTGCCGGCGGGTGGCTGGACCTGCACGACGTGTGGGCGGTGGGCGAGGCGTCGTCTGTGGCATCGCTGTCGGGGGTGACGCTGAGCGGCGGCACCGTGTCGATTGCGCGCTGCGCTGCCACCGGCGCGACGCTTGTCTCCGGGCTGGCAATCACGAGCGGCGTCGTGTCGGTGCAGTGCAACCGTGCCGGCGGCCGGGTGCTGGAGAGCAGCGGCGACTACCGCATGGCCGGCCTGCCCTCCGTGAGTGTGGTGCCGTGCGACGGCTGTGCGGCCGCGCTGACGTGCTTTGATGCGCTGACGGCTTCGTTCTCCGACTGCGTGTGCGGCTGCCGTGCCGGCGGCGTGGGCGAGGCGTGCCTGCCGTTCGACGTGCCGCCTGCGAGGTCCGGCGGTGGTTCGCAGGGCTGCGTGAGTGGCGTGACGCTGACGGAGTCTGTGACGGTTTGTGGCTGGGTGCGACCTGCAGGGCGGTGAGGAGGTGTCGTATGACGGTGTGTTTCCTGGGGAAGTGGTGGAGGTATTCGGGTGCGGCACTTGCAACGACGACGCGGCGTGCTACATGCCCGGGACGGAGTCGGTGGACCGCGGCTCGTGCTCGTGCAGCTGCAAGGACGGATGGCATGGCGCGTCGTGTCTTCCCTTCGAGGTGCCCGACACGGTTGTGCCGCCCGTGGCGGAGAGAGCTGTCGACGGCGACACGAGCCGCGTGGTGGACCAGACGCTGACGAACCTTACGCTGAACGTGTGGAAGACGCACCACTGCTACGAGGGCGTGACATTCAGCGGCGTGGGTGCTGTGCTGACGTTTTCGTTTGACAGTATGCCGCTGCATCTCCCCATCAAAATCACGCTCACTGGATGCACATTTCTTGAGGGTGCCGTGCTGCAGTTTGTTGGGGGTGCTGCGGCGGCCGAGTCAGCCGGCGTCCTGATCCGCGTGAGCCAGACGGTGATGCGGTCCTCCATTGTCACTTTTTCACTTGCCCTCCCGCAGCACTGCGACATCGCCGTCACGGAGGTTGACGTGGTGCAGTCTTCCGCGGTCCATTTGCCGGACACCGTGAACAACATGTGGAGTGTTATGATTCTGCAGAACGTTGTGTTGACTGCAACTTCGCTGCTGGTCAGCAACGTCAGGGCGCATGCCTTGAGGTACGGTGGTTTTGGTTTGTACTCGTTCGGTACGCTGACGCTGGTGGGTGGCAGCTCGCTGTACGCGCGGTACTGCAGCCTTGATGGGTACGAAAACCTGTTGTACATCAATAGTCTCAGTGCGAATGACCACTCTGTTTTTGCGCTGCTCAACAATACGATGGCCTCCGGAACAAGCTTCCTGTATCAGCACCGCGGAGCTAGCGTGTCGGATCACAGCGTGCTGCGCGTGGTGGGGAACAGCGGTATCGTGGCCTGCGCCATCTACGCATACAATTTTTGGAGCGTCCAGCAGTCAAGCTGGCTGGATTGGCGCGACAACGACGTGGGAGTGGGTGCGATGTTCTGTTACTCCCTAATAACTACTGTGAACATCGACGGCAGCAGTGTGGTGACGCTGACGGGCTGCAATATGGGCTCGACGGGGTTGTCGGTATCCTTGCTGAAGCAGGCTGGGGACGGCTACCGGTTCGTTGCTGGGTGCCTGACTGTTCTTGGACGTGTGGTGACGACGGCGGCAGGACTGGAGCTGAACGGCATCACCAACGTGACGACGGTTGCCGCGTGCGGGCAGTGCACGAAGGAGGGCGACTGCTTTGCGCCGCTGACGACGGCGGTCAGCGACTGCAAGTGCCAGTGCGCTGCTGGAGGGCACGGCGATGTGTGCGTCCCGGCGCCTGTGCCTGCTGGCCTACCGCCATCGCCACCACCGCCGATTGGTGAGTGCATCAGCGACATGGTTTACCCCGAGGTTGCGCAGGCAGTGGGCGGCGGGCTGTCGTGGCTGTGCTACCGCAACGTGACGTTCAGCGGGGGCGGCATGATCCTGACGGTGCTGATTGGGGCGATGACGGGCGACGTGGCGAATGTCACGTTCGATGGATGCACTTGGAGGGACGGCGCCCTGCTGTTGCTGTTGGGCAACGCGTACGCCGCTGTGGGGTCGCTGAACATTGTTGTCACCGGCAACACGTTCAGTGACGCGTTGCTTAGCCCGGAGGGTGTTTTTCCACCGCACACGAACATCACGATCAACGGGAACCGCTTCACGGTCACGAGGCTGGTCCCTCGGTCGGGTTTGGAAGTTATGAGGACGTCGTGTGTTGCGATGAATGAGCTGGCGATCAGCAACGACTCCGCGGTGGTGCTCAGTGGCAATGTGTTTCAGAGCGTGAGGGCATCGTCAAGTGCCATTCACGTTGTCAGATCTGCGCTGAGGGTGTCGTGGCACTCCGTGTTTGCTGTGATGGGCAACACTTTTCACATGGCTGGCGCTAACGGCACTCTGATATATCTTGGAGGGTCTAGACGGTCCTCATCGCTGAGTGTACTGAACAACTCTGCCGTGGTGATTCGAGGCAACGCTGTGACGAGGCCGGTGTAGTACTTCATGCTGTTTCTTTGGGTATTTTGTGTGGAGTCCCGGTCAGCGGTTGTTTTTCGGGACAATGACATGCAAGGAGGCTCGGCTGTTTTCTTTTCAAGCCACTCTTCCTACATTTACTACAACTCCTGGCTGCAGTTAAGCGGCAACCTCTGCCGTGAATCCCCATCGGAAGCGTTTGCTGTTTTTAACCCCACGGTGAATCTCCGTGACTCCACGGTGTCTGTGTCCGGCAACCAATTCATTTCCAGCACGGTCACGCCGACAGTACTGCGGATACCCTCATTTTCTAGCGACCTCACAAACGGAGCGATTGTGGCTGCGTGCAACACTGTGAACGGCGAGGAGGAGGCGAAATACAGCATCCCGTCCGTGTACAATGTCACCGTCCTGACCTGCGGCGATCCATGCACCCTTGCGACGTCGTGCTTCCCTGCGTACACGACGACGGCCTCGAGTGATGGCTGCGCCTGCAGGTGCGCTGAGGACGGCCACGGCGATGCGTGCCTGCCCGTTGCTGTCACCGAGCCGCCGAGCACCGACGGCGCCGACTTGTGCGTGCGGGACGTGCGTGTGGATGTGGAGGTGAGCGCCGGTCTCGGGACGTCGGTGGTGTGACCTTTGCGGCGGATGTTTTGGTGGGCGTGGCGTCGATGTCAGGGAGCGTGCGCGGGGTGGACGTAAAAACGCTATTCGCGGCTAGCGCGCGGTGCTCCGCCGAAAAAAAGGAGGGCAGATGCTGCTCTAGCGCCTTTTCCGCAGTGCTTAAAAAAAAAAAAATGAGTGAAATGAAGAAACATATGCAGCAGCAGGTGCTCTTATAGGGTTTGAATTGTGGCACAACCGGAGTTCCGATCAGAACCCCCAAATCAAGGCAATGGCAGAAAGGCGAATAAGTGAAAAAAGAAAAAAAAAAGAATGCATCGGAGCCTCTCACGTTGCTACACCTCTTCGGTGATGTCTTTCTGTGCCGCGGATTCCCCGGGCAACATTGCCAGCTCCTCTGTCATCGCGGGGTCGAATACCACCGGATAGAACGGCCCCTGAATCATAGCGCCCGCCTGGAATTGGGTGGTGTGTGGCAGCAGCGGTCCGTTCTGGGTTGCGTACGTCTTACCGCCCATGTAATGTATAAAACAACAGCGCACGGCGTCCAGCGAGCGATTTCCGTGCGTAGCGAAAAGTGTGAGAGGATGGATGAGAAGGGCCTCGCCGCGCTTCATGTCCACCGTCGCTGGAGGTGTGTCCATGAGCATTTCGCTCTCTTCCTCGTTGGTGATTTCCCAAATGGTGTTTAACTGCTGTGCCTCGTCCTTGGCGGGATCGTAGGGAACAGAAGGAAGCAATCCGCCCTCTCGCCACCGGTGGCTTCCGGGAACCAAGCAAGGGGCTCCACGATCTTTGTTCATTGTATCAAGAGCAATCATGACCGTTACATGATTGACAGGTGTTGTGTGCTGCCAGCGGGCGTAATTTTGTTGCCAGGGAACGCAGGGTCCCTTACGGGCCTCTTTCATAAAGACTTCGTCGTACCATAGCCGAACAATAGAGTTGCCAAGAATCTGTGAAGCGGCCACAGTGATTGTGGGGAGGTAAATGAGATCATGCATGCCCCACGCGGCTCGCCACTGTCCCTGACAATAGAAGAGCGGTCCCTCTGTCAAATTGGCCAGCGAAGTGGCGTATAGCTTCTCCGTTTTTGGATGATGCTCCACATTGTTTGCCAGTTCATTCACTTCGTCCGCCAGCTTATCAACCTGCTGTGCATCAAGGACTGGGCGAGGTAGTTTAATGTAGCCAAGTTGGTGAAAGCGTTCCACAATTTCGGGGGCTATCACAAATTGACCAAATTCATCCACGTCGGGCAGCGTTCCGTACAAACAGCCGAGGGCACCATTGAGGTCTTTTAGGTCCTCTGGAAGTTGGCCCCGGAGAAACTTCAGCACATACGATTTTAATCGGCATGGCAACGAGAGATGCGTTGATGTCATCACGCGGGATGTTACAGCAGACGATCGCAGACGCCTCAGACTGCAAGCAGCCACGTGAGTTGCATGCATTTCCATAGAGAGAAGCGACAACACAGTTTGGATTTCCCCCCTCCAATGTGAAGGGAAAAGGACTACCAGAAGAGTGAAGGACAATTAAAAAGGGGGAGAAAAAAGAGGAAGGGAATAAAAATAAAAAGATAAAAGAAAATAATAATAAAAAAAGATGAATCTGCCACGGAATCATCCCTAACAAAGGAGAAAAAAAAAAAAAAAAAGGAAATTCCACCGTGAAAATTGCGTGGTGTTTCGCATTCCTTTTTCTTTTTTTTATCTGTTACTCGTGATTTACACCTACTGTACGACGTCACCGGCAACAATAAACCCCATCGCTACGCACACGCACACAAACAGTTGAATAAACAACCCATACGGGCGGGAGATGGTATATATGCAGTTATATAAGCCTGCATGGTGGTGGTGTGTGTGTGTGTGTGTGGGGGGGGGGGCACATTGTCTTTCCCGCTAAAGACCTTTGCCAATCTTCTGCAGTTTTCGCTTTTTCCACTTGTGGAAATACCCCTTCTTCTCCGTCTCATTGGGAGCGCTCTGCTTAAAGGATTTGCGTCCACGTGAAAGGAATCGAACTTCTTCTTCCAGTGCTTGGCCGCCCGTGCGAGGAACTTTGTGTGGGTTAATGGAGGCCTTCATGGCTGCTGTCGGTGCCACTTCCCTCTTACGACGTTCGAGGAACCGGTGTTTGTCCTTCTTCTGCTTGACTAATCGGCGGAGACGTGCCTTTTCAATGTCAAACGTGTTAAAGCGCGCTGAAGGCCGCAACGCTTTTATTCCCTGCAGAAACGCCTCGGAGGGGTGTGTGAGGTTCCGCTCCGGTCGAAGTGTGTTCCTCCACCACAACACTTCATTTTTGTCGTCGGCAGCGATGGCGTACATCATCCTAAGATGTGCATCCTCTACGCCGTCCGTAGCGCTTTTCTGAACGATGATATTCGTTCCTTTTATGAATTTCTTTCGTTGGCGAGGAACGACATTGTCAGCCATGACTCCCGCCCCCTTCGCCCCTTCTCAATTCTTGTATCTCGCTGAAAAAGAGCTCAAAAAAAATTCAACAACAAACGACAGCGGTAATAGCAACAGAGGGGGCAAAGTGCAACCAAACCTTCATTTCCAACAAACACTTGTCAAGACGTTTGAAACGGCGGCATGCGGCTCACCACGGCCACTCCTTTGAGACACACACACACACACATTGGCAGACTGATTTATTTATTTTTTTTTCCTTCACTCTTCGTTTCAAAACGCACTCCACCATCGATGTCATCGCTTGCATTCCCACGCCCTACGGTACAGATCGAGGGCTTTGGCGAAGTACTCAATAAGTTGTCTTTTTGACACCCAGATGTTACTGAATAGCCGTTTGTTTCTTTTCCACGCCGGGTTCGTCGCCGCAAAGTCTGGTTCGAGCTCCGCCGGATCTTGTTCAGCCACAAACGAAATATGTTGAATGGGCAGAACACCACCACCCGCTGCATCCCGACACATTTTATGGTACAACTCTGGCAGCGTCGCCCCAGCGGGAGGAACGAACTCCACCACGACTGAGCCCGGCGGCATCCAGACACAATTGGCGATTCCGCCACCGTGAGGCGCAATGAGAATATTTGTTTCCAACATCGCAGCGATCTGATCCACGTAAGCCATTTCCTCAAGAAAAACCCTCCTAAGAGATCCCCCCGTCATAGCCAGTACTGCGGCTTCGAGGGCGGGTATAACATCTTCTTCATTCACCACCCTTCGTCCACGAGTGATGTTGGGATGATTGCGACTAAGGTACAGTACATTCGGTCTTCGCGGTAGCCATTGCCATTGCCGCAGCTTCCATGCAAACCACTGATTGAATAGGATAGGCGAACGCCTGTCATATTGTGGCATCAAACACCGCAACGTCGTCGCATGGACTCCGGATACCGTAGCAACATCTCTCTTGTTTCGCTTTCTGAGAAACTGAAGGAAGCGGTGTTGCAACGCTATACGTGGCAGCAACCAATGTCGAAGCGCTGCTTGACTGAAGCTGTTCGCACTAATTCCCAGAATGGCTCTTGTAAAACACGTTGGCTCTGTGAACTCAGAGGCCTCAAGTACTGGCAAATCTATAAAGTAGTGCAACAACTCGTCTAACAAATGGGGTGCTTTGGGACCGCTTCGAGGCTTTTTGTCAACAGTTATGACCACTGGAGATTCACCGTCAAAGATCCCCTTTCTCAATCGATCCTTTATCCCAAAGTCATCACGCAATGTGTCAAAGAATGGCCCGAGGTTGTTTCGCCACAAATGATACGTTGAATGGCCACTCATACGGAATATGAACACTACCGGTGCAGTGACAACATACTTGCAGTGAGACAAAATTGAAACCCCCATGTTTGTCTTTCTTGGCAACTCCCGCACTGGAGTCCCATAGTACTGATGATGTTTTCCCAGCCACTCCCGCGCTCCGTCGGCCAAGAAGAGTAACGATGGTATTTTCCCCCTCTCCGCTTTGAAAGTGAAGAAGTTGCCATTTTGAATTATGATGTTCTTGACGTAGCACTTGCTATGAAAACCCCTTCTGACACAATGCGCACGGGTGGCTCCGCCTCTGGTCGCCAAACTTAGGGAAGCCAACTCCTTACTCGTGCAGGGTGCTTTGAAGGGTGCCGTACCATTATTGCTGTTGCCTACGGCGCACATCGGGGCCAACCGCGTTGTTTCTCCCACAGGGGCCATAAACCAGTCACAGCCCCATGCCTCAACGGAAGAGCCGTTATGCGATTTTGCCTCAAGGACAGACTCCCAATAGGGGAGAAGATCAGGCTCTTCCCCAACGGTCTTTGCGTCTTCACGCATCGGTTGCGTTGCCGCCGTCGTGTCCTGCCCGGCGGGTGTGACGTTCTCTTGCGGTTCCGCAAGTTTCCTCCCCGCGATAAAAAACACACACGTCCACAGTGCCATCGTGGCAACTACCCAGAGAAACCGCTGGCGTCTCTGCTTGCCCCGTCGTAATGCAGAAAAGAAAACCGGCTCATAGACATAGTGCTTCTGGGACTGACCCATGAAGCGGTCAACTGGAAGCCCTATTAAAACAACAACAACAACAGGAGTTCACAAACCCTCGAGCCATCATGACTACCAACAAAACAGTAAAGATGACAAATAACAACCACACTGATAAATACATGTAGACTTTATACATAAATAATATGAAATAATAATAAAAGTTGATTTCATCGATCCACCACCAATAAACATCCACATCGTCATCCAGAAAAGTTTTTAAAAACTATAAAAAAAAACAAAAACAAAAACAACTAATATATACATATAGATATATATAGATACATACTCTTATATGCATTATAAATTTTCAAATGTACAGAAAAAAGTCTACGGGCGAAGACCGGCACGAAAAGAGCGAAAAAAAAAAAAAAGAAAAAAAAAAAAAACAAAACAAAAGGAAAAGGAAGAAAGAAAAGCAAAAAAAACAAAAAAAAAGAAAACCAGGAGGAGGCATAAAGGTATCTTGCACGTGACCACTCGTACACCCACACCCACACACATACGCAAAAAAAAAAAACAAAAATGATAATAAACCCCCCATCCCACTTTGCCCCTCTTCTGCCAGAGACATGAAAAATACATCCCGTCTCTTAATAAGTGAAAACTTTTGAGGAACACGGTCCACCCACAGAGAGAAGGTATACATATGTATGTATGTATGTGTATGCAGTTCTCCGTCTTGCGAATTCACATAGAAGTCTCCCTATTTTTACATGATGCGAGGAGATTGCCCCCTCCCCATTCTTTTTCATTTGTTATGTCTTGGAAATAAAGAGAAGTTAAGGATGACGGTGTGGAAAAAAAAAAAGAAAAATGCCCAGATTACAATACGCTCAATTTTTTTTTTTTTGTTTTGTTTTCTTAGGATCCCCCTCAGCTGCCCTCGTAGCACAGTTCTTCACCGGGAGTAATGGGACGTTGCGCCTTCATTGTCACGCGACGCTCTCCCGAACGATCGAAGGAGGTTTTAGAGCACAATTCCAAATTCCCCAGGGGCATCGCTGCCGAAAAAATGGCATCCGCCTGTGGTGACGCCTTATTTTCACCCCCACCCATACTCTGTGGCGTTGCCCGTGAATGTGGTTCTTCCGACTCATGCGTAAGTGAGTTTATGGAAAGCATTGACGCCGCGGGGGAATCCCCTTTTCGCAGGTGAAGCGGGTTTCGCTGACCGCTTGGTGCAGCATCCTTAAAAAAGCGAGAGCATACATCCCCTCCAAATGCAGATAGATCTGTAACGAGACTCGTCAACGGACCCATGACCGCCACCAAAACAGTGTATTCCCGACAAATTTTTTTCCAGCCCTCTTGCAGATGCTCAGGAACACTGTCACCGACACCAACTGTGAGCACACATTTGGGTACCACACAGTAACTACACACACAAAAGTCCCAAAACTGCTCCATGAAACGTCGCTTTCCGAGAAACCCCAATAATCGACCAAAGGTCCAAATAGAAGGACGTTTCGCCATATGGAACCCGACTTTGCTGTGTTCTTCAACCAACCAGACCGCCAGGGACCCTACATCCGTGAGAAACGGTAGACTGCCCGCGAAGCTTTGATCACTGCCGCGCGACGCCAGCGTGGCATCATCCGATTGACTCTTCGACAATCGACTATCGCCACCCGCGCTCACGGATTCCGGAGAGAGCCACTGGAGGGGATCGGATGCCTTGGACAAACTGAACGCCACCACCTCATCGCGTAGTCTAGACTGAACAATGTCATTAATTGCACGCAAAAGCTCCACGGCGCGATCAAAACCACGGCGAATGCTTTGCGTTGTCGCTGCCGCCCCACTGGAGGCATCGTCGTTGTTTGCAGTACTTTTTACTGCAGGGGGTTCGCTCAGTAGTTCCCATACGGTGCTCGGTTGAAGAAGGTTTGTGTCAGCAAAAAACGGCACTCGAATTTGCTGCAGCACTTCCTCTGCCAAGCAAAGCCCGTGAATATCGTGTCGGTCTGATGGGGATGCGCCGCCACTGGTAAACCCCCTTGATGCGTAACGTGCCACAATCTTCTTGACGGCATCTGATCTTTCACGGCACCTGTGCTCCAACCCAATAAAATGGTTTTTTGGTCGAGAAAAGATATCATTCTTCGTTGCCGCTGTGGGCATGATAAGGTAGAGAACGCTCGCCAGAAGACGGCCCATAACTAGTAGTGGTGCTGTAATAGCATTTGGAGCCTTCTCCAAAATGGCGGTCCCCACTGATGCGTAATATGAGCCAAAGACGGCACGAATTTCTGGAATTACAGAACAACAGGCCTGAATTGAGCTCAAGTACAACCTTTCGCGCTCCATCATTGCTTCGTTGACGGAAGATGTTGAAAATTCCTGCCATAAACTCTCTCTAAGCGACCCAATGGACAAATCCGCGATGCCCAAACAGCTTTGCCGATTGTTGAGGCGACGACAAATGTTCACTAAACTGCGCACATCTGTACGCCTGAGCGGTACCTTCGCATAGGGGAGAATCTCCAAGAGAGAGGCATGAGTGTCGTCACCACCACACGGTGCGGCAGGGGAAAAGAAATCATGCGTCCTTGTCACTTCCCCCGTCATGGTACCGTCACGCGGTGGTGTTTCATCCTCGCTTTCACTCTCGTCCACAGGCAACAACGCGCACTCTATCCAGTGATACTCCAGCGCCGCGCGGTTACGGCAGATTTCATCACAATAGTGGTCTCCACACCCCGCCAAACAAGGCAGTGGCTTCTTCTCACTGAAGTTCCAGCGGACTCGATCTGCCATCGCCCTGCTCGTCTTTTCACGGATTCCCGCCAACAGCACGCTCTTCGACACGAGGGGGTGTCCACAATAGGCACAAAAGCGCGATCGGCACAACATCCATGGGTTAGCAAGGTCAGCATTATCGTCAGAGAAGGGTTTACTTGAGTTCTCGTACTCACAATCAGATAAGCTCCACAACAATACCTGTAGAGAAACCTCCTCAGAGAAAACAGTTTCGTCCCTTTCAAACCCCCGAGCAGCGCGCACCCGTAGATTGCGTAAGAAGTAATCCATCGGTGGTGACGACCCTGAAAGAATTTTCCGTAATGACGGTGGCGGAACACAGTAAAAAGGTAAAGGAGACGTCAAAATGTTGCTTAACCCCGGTACACGGACAGTCGTCGGGCGCCGCGGTTGACGATTTGTCTTTGAAATGTTGCTCCCGTCTTTAGCAGATCCCAAATCAGGGTTCGAAGAGTGACGCAAGCGTGGAGAAACATCAACTATGCTGTGGTTACCAAGGCTTCGATGGTAAAAAAAACGCACATGAGCTAATTGATAAAGCCGTGCAAATTGGGGACTGAGAACAAGACAACGCTTTACAGCCACCGCCGCAGTAAGAATAGCCTCTTTTTCCAATCCAAGGGCCATTAAACCGGAAATCACGCGTGTATACGCCTCTATACATATCGTGTCATGTGCAAGAGCCGTCATGGCATCCTCAAGACACTGTTCATAATGACCATCTTGAAAGTGTAGGAAGCTCAAAAACGCGTACAATGGAGCAAGTTCCTTTATTGCTTTACCGCTATTCCATAGTATATGTAGTTTATGCATTTTGTTTATGCTAGCGGATTCCAAATCCACCACATCTGTTTTTGACTGAACAATACTGCTGCTTCCCTTGTCATTAAAAGCACTCACGTTTTCTTTGCTTAAACAGCGGCGCTCTTCTTCATTCGGAGTTGTTAATGAATGTGGCTGAAATCCACCACATGAAAAACTTTCATTCTCCTGATCAAAAATCATGACAAAACGGCTCCGCCGATCTTCCGGGATAAATTCCTCTGTTTGACGCCTCGCATCGGTGCCCGGTGCTTGAGGATTGGATTGCAACCACGTGGGGGATGATTGCCGTGATTCTGCAATGCCTTTGCACACCTCTTTTTGTTGCTTCGAAAGATTTTGCCGTGCATCAATCACCGCCATGATGTGATTTGCAGCCGACTTAAAGTCACGATTTGCGACGGCCAAACTCACACACTCCAGCTTATCGTGCTGCTCCAGAAGGTTCTGCAACAACGATACGCAGCCACTCCTCGTAACAGAAAGGGATACATGAAGCACGTCGTTTGGGTTTTCGTTGATGAAGTAAGCACCAGACACTGCCGTGGTGGCAATTAATTGCGATTTTTCACTAGCCTCATTCGCCGAAAGGGTCCCTCCCGCGTTGCTGCGCGAATTTGATCCCAATACGGTCTCATGTGTAAGTGCCAAGACGGGGACGATGCCCACAACAAAGCGGGTAGGCCTTGGAGTGGGGCAGCCAACACCACCACCGCCTACTCCATCCGTCTCAGGCACAAAACGCGGTAGGGCGACATCCACGACACTGGCGCTTTTATCCCCCTCACCGTCCTGCCCCTCTTTCCTCATGAGACGATCTCCCCCTTCCTCCTTTTCCACTTTGCCACTATCATCATCAACGACTTTATTGCGTCTTTTATCGGAAGCACCTTCTTCGCCCCTTACTTCCCCAAAACACCTTTTAACGAGACGGCTTGAAATTACCGGCGGCAAACAGCGGTATGGAATGTCAAAGCGCACAACCAGATGCCTCTCAGTTTCACGCAAAACACTCCCCACTAACATGTGTTGCATTGCGCACTGTAAGTAAAGCAGATCCATCTCCTTGTCTTCCCAGATGAAGGCGTCATGATTACAGTTCTTCGAGGTGAGTACCACACGGCCACCTACTGTAGGTGCTAGGGGAAGCACTGGCGCTGGCAAGCTGCGCTGGAGCGAGCCGGAGCTAGATTCGGACACGGATATCTGATAACCGGGGGAACCAAAATTAAATTCATCAAACTGCATCTTCAAAAATTTGGGCTTTAATCACGCACTTTTTCTTTTCCCCTCCACGTACACAGACAGAGAACAACAACAATATAATACGGGTGTACACTCCCTCTGTTTGCTACTTCAGACCCTTGCAGTAACGTTGCACACCCCTTTTGTTCACGGGAAACTATACCGTACGCCAAAGGATACGGAAGTGCTATGGGAAGCAAAAAAAAAAAAAAAAAACACATACATGCATATTGGAGAAAGAGAAAGAGGAAGAGAAGAAGAGGAGAAGAGAGTTGGATCCACACACACACACGCAGACAAAAAATAAATAAATAGAATGAAACACATCAGACACAGAGATACACCCATTGAATCGTTCTGTTTTGGATGGGGTGAGAAATGGAGACCACGAGAGTGAAAATACAACCCCTCGAATAATTAACAGCATCGTTCTCACGAGACATGGAGATGACGGCATCGGCGACCGGGCTCTTAAATAACGACGCGGTGCTCAAATGGCAAAAATGTCGGAAGAGCCTCGAGCTCCTTTAGGCCATCCGAAACTGCATTGACGATACCTGCATCCAAGAAAGCCGTAGAACCCTCTGGATGAAGAGGTGGGGAAGCGGAATAGAAAGACAGATCTTCAGTTCTGCGAGGGAACGTGAGAGAAGAGCTGGATGACGATGGGGCAGGTTCTTCCTGAGGCTGATCTGGTGTCGTCACCGCCATCGGCCCGACGAGTGGCGGCCGAGAGAGTGTTTTCTGCCGGCCACTCATAAAAGACCCTCTCATCTGCTGAAATGCAAGCCGCAGTTCTCGCATTTCACCACTGAGCTGAAGGATGGCATGCTGCAATCCATCCATTAACTGGGCAAGCCCATGGACATGTTCGGATGTAGGCATGAAGGCCGTGGAGTGTGGGCTAGCCTCATGGTGGGCAGTGGATCGCGTACTGGAGGCAAGGGAGAAATTTTCCTCACATTTCTCTTCCAGGCGACAGTCGTTGGGGACGTTACTGCAGCAGGCGGACTCCAGCACTGGAGCACGATCCTCTCTGGCATGAAGCAATGCTGCGCATCTTCCTAAAGGAACTTCTTTTTTTCCGTTTTCAACGCTATTTTCCCCAGAAGCTGAAGGAATATCACCACCATTATCCGTAGTCCCCAAAACAGGAAAGGAGCCACCTATTGCGTCAACCGCCATCGGCAATGCTGATCTGCTCCTGCAACGATGAGCCTTGATACCGCATGGTTTCTCACTTTCCTCACGGTGAGACCACGAGAGTGCACGATGCACACGTGATTCGCTGCTTCTCCCTTGCCATCGATTCCCCATCTGTATTTCCATGCGCGGCACCGGTGAGTCATTGGGCTGCGCTTTCAAACATCTGCCCCAATTGCCAAAAATGCAACTGCCCTTTTCATACAACTCCTGACGGGCAAAAGGAAAGGACACAGAAAGCGGCAAGAGGGGCGCGCCGTTCGCCTCTCGGCACGACTCCATTTTCATCAACTCTAAGTTCATGCCGGCGGTCGGTGGAGTTTTGCTCCTCAATTCCCACTAACTCCTCTCGTCTTTGGAAACAGTGCGAGCCAGTAAAAAATAAGATAAAGGAAGAAGCACCAGATGAATTTCACTTGATGGCTCACTCCCCGCCCACCCCTGTTCTCAGCAATCAGCAACAACAACAACAACAACAACAACAACAACAAATAGGTATATGTAAGCACAATAAAAATAACTTGGAAGCAGAACATGAAATGAGGAATTCGTGCTATCATGTCATCAGGCTGCGGCTACCGCCTGATCCGTTACCTTCTGCGCTACCCACGCCATCGCCTCCCTCAGTGAGGCACCAGTCGCCGCACTGCACCCCATCAAAGTCCACGTGTGGTCCCTTACTGCTCCCAAACCCAGCGCCTCAATCATTTCCACCGGGCTCACAGCACCCCGCAAATCCTGCTTGTTCGCCAGAACTAACAGCACTGCTTTTCGGAGACACGGCTCGTTGTTTAGGAGCCCCTGCAGCACTTTCCTTGCGACGGCAAAGCGACTAACGTCAGCGGCGTCCACAACAAATATTACTGCGTCGGTCTGTTCATAATAGAGAGCCCACGAGTCACGCAGTTGCTCCTGCCCACCTAGATCCCAGCAGGTAAACTGAATCGTGTTGTTGTTTGGGCCATGTGCCACACTCAGCTGTTCCATGTTCCCTCCAAGCGTCGGTTGTGTCGTGATGGCGTGCCCGAGCTGCAGGTGATACAGAATAGATGTCTTACCAGCATTGTTGAGGCCTAAAATCACCAACTTGTAATTACGGGAAGGGACAAACAGTGACCAGAAACTGCTAAACAGGGTTCCCATACATATATATATATATGTCGTGTTGTAGAAAACCGGACCGAGTTTTCGCCTTTTCTCCCTTCAAAAAATATGAAAAATAAAAAGAGAGAAAGAAAGTGACAATAACATGTGTGGGGCAGCAACGTCTCCAAAAAGATTTTTGAGTCATCATGGAGTAAATAGAAAAATAGAATAAAAGCCACAGAGAACAAGAACCATATCCATGAGTCAGGGTCGTGGCCACCGGCTGCATGTGCGGTAACCCTCCTCTTCTCACGAGTCGAGCGACGGAAGCAGTGCCTTTTTCCACATCGACTCAAACCGACGCTCATCCCCACCAGACCACACGTTTACAACCTTCAGTGTGAGCTGTCCCTGTGTGGGATGTACGGTGAGCACTTCACACTCCACCACCGCCCCTATCACCACGTTTGGCAGACTGTGGAGCACTACGTGTGCAAACTGCAGTTCGGGAATGTAGATATCGGACACATAACGGTATTCACAGCGCCGTTGCTGCCACCGACCAATAAATGGCACTGTTCGTTTTACACTTTGCAAATTCGAAGAGGTCGCATAATCACCAAATTCTTTATCCTCTCGGATTTGATCCCAATGCGAGGAATCCATAAAACGTGTGTACTCCGGCGCACTTTCCACGCCACGTGTGTCGCCAACCAGACAGATAAAGCGATACTGACGATTCTTTTTGAGGATGTTCTGCTCAATATGTCTCAATACCCAGTAGCGTTGGCTGTTATCCTGTAAAATCCTGGACTGCTCCTGCTTGTTGCTTATCATTGAACACAAAGTGGCCATGGTGTATTCTGCAATGGGCTGCTCAATCATCGCCACTACCGCCCTTTTCTGCGAAGAGGTCGGCGCTGCACGGCCCCTGCTCTGTGCGGAGGTGCGCCACAACCACATCTTTAACTGATGGTGCACCAACATGTCCGCATACCGCCGCAAAGGACTTGTGCTATGGGTGTAGTTATACGTGTTAAGCCCTGCATGGTAGATAGGTGTGTGAAAGTAAACTGCCCTTGTGACGGCGCTCAGCTGCCGAATTGCGTGCTGTATCGCCTCGGCAAAATAAACGTACTGTGGGTCCAAGGATGCCACTTCAGTGACACCCTGCGGCTCACTATACGAACGCGCTGCCTCATGATCCATTGAAAGCTCCCGTGTGCCGCGGTATGGGATAGGCAGATGGTTCGCCTGAGCTACACGAGAACAAACCTCATTCGCGGCGATCATCATCTCCGCGACAGCTAAGCGAGCATCTTTTGTGGCAACAACTTGGTCCTCTACAGATAACACACGTGTTGCCTCAACCTTGATGTGAGGTTCCGGGAGGTTTGCGTCGATAAAGTGCTCAAGAGAACGTGCTCGACGCTCCTCAAGCCGTTTTCGTGCTGCGAGGTGGATACGGTGCAGGGCGCGGACGTCTTCCGCCTCCATCCAAGACGGGCGTGCAACTTCTTCTGTTCCTTCTTCCTTAGCATCATACAATACCTGGACCTCATCGTATGTGATGCGGCGTAGCTTCCTCAGCCATCCAACACTAATGCTGTAGTTCTTCAGTTCTCCCGTCACCTCGTCAATCTGAAAACGAATGTTAAACGTCCGACAAGGCCGATCCTCGCGTAGTGTCGCCGCCTCCACGATCGGCTTTGGTAGCATAAAAAAGACACCTTCTGGCAGGTAAGTCGTTGTTGTGAGAAGCCGCGCAGTGAGCTGTTCCAGCGGACTGTCGAACGGGCAATACACTGTAGCATCTGACACGTACACGACAAAGTACTCCTCCCCTGTGCTTGGATCCGTGTGCACCCCAATCGCGTCGTCCACTTCCGATGTTGTAGCAGAGTCAATGGCATATGCGGGTCCATCCACATATTGCCGAATAGAGTCAAACGGATCACCACCGTCCTGCTGGAGCTCCTCCGTCAAGTATGGCTGCATATGCGACAGCGCACTCGGTGGGTAATGCAGTTCCCCAGAAAATGCCACGCGTCGCAAGTTATCGCCCGGTTCGACGTACTGCAGCACCTGAAGGAGACACTCCATCTGCTGCGGATCCTCAACGCTCTGTGGGGCGCCGTGAATGCAGGCAAGAACTCGATTCAGTTCACTCAACGCCTCCAGGGAGAGAACGCCTTCACCAGCCGCGTACCGCGCGAGAAGTCGAAAAATACGCGCCTCGCTCAATGCATCAAGAGGCCGCACCGGAAGCGACCACACTTCCCCAAGCATGCGTTGTAGCCTAAGCAGTTCCTTATCCAACGCAACACTCTCGCGGGTCATCTTGGGAAGAGACGGAGAAGGTGTCGTACCACCGGCTTCTGGCGTGGGACTGTAGCGCTGCAATAACGAGCCGAGAATAAACTTCCGTGTCCACGTCCCATTTAAGTAGGAACCAGAAAACTGCACAAGTTTGACTACACGTCTCGGGGCACTCATCCTTTACGCGCTTCTTACTCGCATGAATTGCCAGAAAAGTATATATATATATAAAAGAGAGAGAGAGGGAGAGAGAGAGAGAGAAAGAGAGAATGTATTGGTGTATATGTGTCCTCTCTGCCTGCAGTTTTACTCTGAAGCAAGAGGTGCTCATCTCCTCTGAAATGAAGGAGTACTCTCTATTCTTCACCGTGATTCGTAATTGTTTCCTTCTTCCCTCACACTTCCCATTCTTTGTTCCCCCAACTAGTGTGTGTGTACGTCGGCCTCCTGTTGACTGGCTCCAAGTTGGCGCATGTTACGAAAATATGCTGCCTTCTGCCGGAGCATTACTAACTCGTCATGCGTGTACTGCTTGCCTTCCTCACCTTCTAACAGTCCCAACGTTGGATTGTGTGTGAAGGCCGCTTCGAGCCTTCGAAGACGCTCTATAAAGTGTGCGGACACTCCCCTTGCTCGCTTTACCTGTTCTATGTGATCCGGTGACAGGCGGCAGAGGAGATTGTGTCGCTTCTGCTCAACATGCTTGACCCAATCGTTCAAATGAAAAAAACGGCGGACTAAATATGCGTCATAGACCGTCTTCACAGTGGGGTGCAGGCCGGCATACACGCGATCCAATTCAGCGGCAATCTTCTCCTTTTCTTTCTTGACGTGAGCAATTTTTTCATGAAAGCGCGGGTGAAGTGGGTCTTCGTGTAGTGTCTGCAACTCCTCGGCAAGAGGGCCGTAGCACTCGTAGCACGTCCTCAGGCATTTGTACAAAAGGGCATGACTGGAGTTAAGCTGCGCGTTGGGCTGTTCGTTGGTTGGGGGGTACTGCATGTGTCGCTTTAGGTAAGTGTCGCTGTAGCCGACCCACTGTTCCGTGTTCAGCCACTGCTGCTGATCGCCTTTGGTGCGAGGGAGCGTGTCCACGCCGTCTGGCTGGACAATGTGCGGGTTGTGCAGGTAGCGGTGGAACTGATCGCTGGCCTGAAGTCGCCGTGCGGTGCAAAGCGAAGTGCAACACAACGGTGACGCGGCAACGGCGATGGAGCTCCGCATGACGGGGCGCAAACAAACGACACGCAGACCGACAGGCATGCTTTTTTTTTGCACCCACCTGCACACCTCCAACAATAATAATAATAAAAGTTTTTATTTGCTTGCGAGACAAAAAAAAAAAAAAAACACCGCCCTCGCCGACAACACACCCACGCAACGAGAAACAAAAGAAAAAAGATAAAAAGAGAGAAACAGAAATAAAGGGAGAGGGAGAAAAAAAAAAAAAAAAAAAAAGAGGCACCTGGAGCATACACGCACGCACGCACCACATAACTCGCGTGCTAAAATATGTTTTCTCGTTTTTTCCCCTAAATTTTCATCACATGCCAGTCTCGTTTCTACTGCGACGGTGTGTGTGTGTGCCGCCACCACCCACCGCTCGTGCATTCCGCAAAGCAGATGGAGTCACTTATTCTCCACTTCCATCACCCTCTTCTACTTCCCTAACTCGCACCATGCCCCCCTCTCCTCCCCGACTGCCATGCCCATTCCCCATTCCCCATTGCCCAGCTCCCCCTCTCCCCCTATTTCTCCCTCAAAAAGCAATTCCTCACGCACATACGGCTACACCATTTTCCGCCCTTCCCTTTTTTTTTTTCTTTTCTGTTTTACGCCATTTCACTTCCTTCTCTTCATGATGTGTTCACGTCTATTCTCATACCTTTATGCTCGCTCCGCCGCGTTGTGTCGTGGGGCGTTGGGACGGCGGAAAAACACATCACGATGACCCATCTCTTTCGTCTGCTTCGCGTCATGGAAGTGCGAGTAGATATCCTTGAAAGGCGTGTAATATTTCATCGACTGCGGATTCTCCGTAGTGCCAGCGCTTTCCCACATTTGTTGCAACAAATCGTCCCAAACTGCACGGCCAATGTTCCATGCCGCTTGATCAGAGCGTGGACGGCGCCACTCGCCGTATTCGCCAACCATACGCAAAATTGGCTTTCGGCTTCCAAGTGGAGCATCCCAGGCGTTACTGAAGGCAAATGGACTGTCCCCATCCATCTTGAAACGCTGCGCCCGAAATATTCCGTGGCCCTGAGATATGGTCATGCTCTCCACGACATTCTGGTGCACTCGCATCCTAGCCTCGCGTGTGTGACGGCGTATCCAGCTTGGCAAGAAAAACCCTTTGAACTGAATACCACGTGCGATTGCATCCATGTTCGCAATCTGCATTGGCTTCCCGCTTGTGCTACCGTACGTGACGCATACACCATTGTCTCCTAACAAGTTCACAACACTAGATGCATAGTTGCCACATGTGTGGTTCAGCAGCAACTTTGGTGGTGGCACATCTGAAAGAAGTCGGCGCATGTAGTTGGTACGAACGTAGTTATATGGCACGACCGCAAAGGCCCCCCGCATCTTGAAAAAAGAAACCAAGTGTGCATGCTCTGTGCGTCCCAGCTGCAGCGTTTGAAAAAGCTTCGCACCACGAGCTCGAATATACCCCTGACAAATCTGCGCAACTGAAGAAGAGGCACCAGTCTGAAGCACCACATCATTTGGTTGTAGACTCACAAAGCTGTTTGTCAGGTGGTACGCGGTATGAAAAAGCGATAGTGAGGCAAGATACTCTATATCCACATCTGCGCGGTTTGGCACAACGTCCAGGTTGTCCGCCTCTGTCACGATGTGCGTCGCCCACGTGCCAACAGCCGGATTGTTAACCCAGACAAGATCTCCCTCCTGCAAATTGAGTGTTGCACTGGCCCCAACCTCCTCCACAACACCAACACCCTCCACACCGGCCACTTGCGGAAACCCAAGCGCCTTGACAGGCCCGTGGTTTCCGGAGATCATGTTACGATCGTGTCGGTGTACTGGGGCTGCCAACATCTTCACCACTACCTGCGAGCCACTACGATTAAATGGCACACGAAAGCGCTCGTACTGCAATACCTTCTCTGGCTTGCCGTGCCTGTGGTAGCGCCATCCCGCTGCGGCAACGGTGCGTACCGTCGGGAGGCCAAAAAGGGAGGCCGAGCGCCGCATCCTTCCTTTGACCCACTCTCTTTTTTTGTTTTCACGGTCAGACCCCCTCCTGTCCGCTCACCACTCCGTTATGGGGTCTGTCCCCTCGATATTTATGCGCTGAAAAAAAAAAAAAAAAAGGAAAGAACGAAATCGGAAATTTTCAATAAAAAAACACTGATACCAACAAATCAGGTTTTCCCAAACCAATTGCATTTGCCTGGGTATTTGGGGTGAAAAGGTGCCAGTAAATAAATAAATAAATATATATATATATTTTTGCTGTTGTTTTCTTTTTTTTGGTTCATCTGCAGCTATTTTACATAAAGGCATAGTTTTTCTCTTCCTTCTCCCTTTTACTCCACCTGCAGGAAAACGTCGTATAGTGAGGTACACTTGAAACGCGGCGGCAGAGATAAAACTAGGGTGGGGGTGGGACAAGGAAATAAACCGTCAAAGCTGGAAAAACCACGATCATTTAAAACTCCTGTTTCCCCTGGCGTATGCTACGGAATGATTCTAATAATTATGGGTGTCCAACACACGCCCCAGTTCTTTTTCTCTGCTCAGCAGCTCCTACTGAAATAAATGCGGTAAAACGGCTGCAGATCGCTGCACATCGACTTCCCGTGAGCTGCGCTGAGGCGGTGTTGGTGGTTGCTTCGCGAGAGAATGACCCTTTTTCGGGGATGCGCCGTTGAAACTTGTGAGAGCCAAATCGGTGCTGATCGGTGGTAGAACCGAGGTGATGCATCCTTTTTGAGAGCCCAGTTTCTTCTGAGGGAATTGGGAGTCATTGTCGCCGGTTTTCCTGCTCCACATGTTCTCCTGGAAGTTCACCAAGGCTGTAGTGACGGCGGCAATACCTTTGGCGTCACTGCCGAGGGTGGCACTCATCGCATTGGAGGCGTTGTTCCCGCCAGCCATCGCACCCAGGTTACCCATAGTATTGAACTGCATGGATGCAGTCCGCCCATTAGATTGACCTTCATTCTGTTGCACCTGCTCCTGTTGTTGCTGTTGCTGTTGCTGCTGGGAGTTAGAATCGTCCGCGTCATCTCCGGCACCGTCCCATGTTACTTCTTCGCCTCCACCTGCAGCGCCACCGGGGCTACACAGAACGGAAATAATCGTCGAGCCAAAAAGACGCCCCAAGGAGGTCTCGCCAATCTGCTTCGCAACCACCGAGGATCGTTTCTTCCCTTCCGATTCCATTATTTGATCCCATCGTCCTTCAAAACTTCGGCGGCGCATCTGTTGCGCCTGTTGATCTCGTGCCATCTCTTCCGCAAGTTTCTCCGTCAACTGTTTATTCTGCCGCTGAAGCTCCGTAAGTGTCTTGGTAAGCTCCTCTAGTTGCCTCTGCATCAGCAAACGTTGTTGTTGCAGCTTGTCAATATCCGCCTCCTGTGGCTGGGGATTAATGATGCCACCAAGCGGCACCTCCTTCTTTTTTTTAACCGCCTCAAGGAACTCGGCCTCTCGTGCGCTCTCCTCGCTAAGAGTGAGGAGCGCTTTGGGGAACTCGAGTCCGCAGATGTGCTCCAAAAGCCCAATCTCTGAGTGATACGTCTCAAAGCGATACGCCACTCGGATGTCAGAGAGGTGCGTGCGTGATGCATCGTTGCTTCTGCTGCTTGAGAGAAAAAAAAGATCCCCTAGGCGCTCGCGTTTGAAGGCGGTGTCGAAACCAGAAAGTAGCACACTATTTCGTGCAATCTCGCACATGTCATTCGGTCCAAGTTTCCACACTTTGGAGGCGATGGAATACTCCTCCAGTAGCGGTTCCTGCGTGTGGTGGAACATAAGCGGACTGTCTGTGCTCAGCGAGACCATTAACCCCCGTCGAAAGAAGTGCGGGAACGGGTTGTCAAGGTAGCCAAGGACCTTCGTGTTGTTACT